TCTGTCTGTGTGTCTATGTGTGTGTGTCTGTTCCACTGCTATCTCAAGAACCATACATCAGTTTTTGATGAAACTTGGTGCATAGATGCTCTGGGCCAATGCGCAGATTTGATTAGGTTTTGGTAAAAAGCCATGCATATTAATTACCTAATTTGCATGATAATTAGCTGATTTTTAGCTGTTCCATGACTGTTTCACTGATATCTAAAGAACCACTCATTGGATTTTGATTAAGCTTGGCACATAGATGCTCTGAACTAATGTGCAGATTTGATTAGTTTTGGGTAAAAATCTGTGCAATATTAATTACCTAATTTGCATAATGATTATTCAAGTACTAATCATCACATTTCAATAAAACTTGGTACATATATGTCATGGGACACTGCACAGACCTGATTTCAATGAAACTTTGTACATAGTTACTTAATGGCTGTGCATAATTTGCATAATTACCAGTAGTTATTTTTTTCCCATGAATGTTCCACTGATATATAAAGAACAACTAATTGGATTTTAATGAAACTTTTAAAGAGTATTCATCATCACATTTCAATGAACCTAGGACTAAGCAGAGACCAAATTAGTTTTTGGTAAATATTTATGTTTATTAATCACCTAATTAAAATAATTATTCTACATTTGAATAAAATTTGGTACATAAATGCTTTAGGACAATAGACAGGCCCGATTAATTTTGGGTTGAAATTTGTGCATATTAATTCTCTAATAATAATTCATAGTTTTTTTGTTCAAATCACATTTCAATGAAACTTGGTACATAGATATTACATTACGCAGGCCTTATTAGTTTTACACTCAAATCTGGTCATATCAGTTACCTGATTTACATAATTAGTTTTCAGCTATTCCATCAATATCTCAAGGAGAAGTAATTTTGAATTAATTTTTAATGTGTCTTCAATACTCTCAGCACACGGGAGTTCTTTCTAAGCTTTATTTGATTTCCAATTAGTGACGGTACAACCTACCTGTGAAGTATGAACAAAATCAGCTGAGCCAAAAAAATCACAGGAGTTAAAAGCCGTTGCTGGTGAAAAGTTACCCCACACTCAATCTGAGTAGAATGAGCTATGTCTGAGGTATTTTATCACAAATTTGTAAGAGGAGATACATTTAGCGTGAAGCTATCCAAAAAAAACAATTTTTTGGCTGTTGCTATTGCCACGGTGGGCCAACTCGGATGAAGGTGTGACCTACCTGCCAAGTTTGAGTGAAATCGGCCAAGCCAAAAAATCACAGAAGAAATAATATGTGAAAACACTGGAAATCTCACACACAAAATGACAAAAGTGATTATAAGGGCAATCCTAGTAGAGCGGATAGCTAATAATTAATATTTCATTTTTGTTAGTGTATCTTTAATTTTATTTATTAAAATATGTACACATATCTAATTGGGGTGGGAATTGCCAAGCCAATTTATAAAATTATAAACAAATATTTTTGTAAATAATACTGACCGTGAAATACACCCTTGAGAAGTGTTACTGACGGAATATTTTATATTGCAATTTCTTTCAATTTAATTAGTTTTATTGCAATGCATTAGTAATAATGTAAATATATATATATACATTTCTTTATTTCATTGTTGAGACTGAGTTATATATTTGTTACGTACTATAATTTATCCATATTGGAAAACGGTTATGGGGATTAATTTTCAACTATCCTTTGCAACATCATTAAGATCATAATGATAATGTTTATTGGTTTTTGAAACTATGGGCATTATCAGAGCATGGGTTTTATTTTGGAACTCCTGCCAGATTAATAGCTTCTAAGGATGGTATTCCCAGAATAGCACAAGTTGTTAAAGAAACATAAAACTTTAATTCTCAACAACGATGAAAGGACCAGTTACTATGACAAAGCCCTACTCCCAGCGAGACCCACCCAATACGAAAGCCACTTACCGCGAAAGCTACTTACCGCGAAGGTACTAGTATAATCTGTAAAATAATGTATTTGTGTTTTATTTTCGAATAAAAATGTTTTGTGATGTAACATTCTACCCTTTCAGAATGTATTTTACCATATCTGGAACAATTTTATGATTAAGTGGTGAGTAGATAGGCGTCTTTTTTTGAATACGAACACTGCAGCAAACGACTTGTGAGATTTTTACTAAATAATTGTTATCACAAAAAGGTAATTCCAACAGTGATATCGGGGATGTGATTGGTTGTATGTCCGTTCCTTTGACACAGGGAAGCTGGCAATATCTGGATGTTTGATAGAAGTCGTATATTTCTTTACGTTACAAGTGACTGTGGCCATGCTGGCCAGTGGTTGGTTACCGCAGTTTAGCAGGAAATATTCCTTTTAGAAATGATAAACACTCACAAAAAATTGCCTCCATTTACGCGACTTTGCATAGAACATATACCCTTTATTCTATAGTACTGACAATAGCACCAAGACATTTGTGAAAACAAAACAGAAGACCAATGTTTTTGATCTATGTAGCAAACAAAAAATGTTGGAGAAATGTTTGGATAGTTTTCTCTCAAATTTGTTTATGGTGGTGATATTTTGGGTTAATTTCTTGTTCAATTTTGTTCAGTTTTTCTAAACCAAGAATACCATTGCATTACTAGTACGTGCCCTAACAAAATTTATTCATTTCAAAGGAAGGAGCATTTTTCCATAATTTAATGCAACAACTCTCACATAATATGATATCAAGACTTTGACAAATAAATGAATAATAGATTAGTAATTCAGAAGTGTTGTGGGCAAGCCATGGCATTGTTCTCAAGTCATGAAGACAGCCAATCAGTGAAGACACGGAATTCAAAATAAAAGCAAATATATAAAATGAAATAAAATTCATGATGTACAATACATAAGATTTTAATCAGATTATTTTTGAAATGGTTGGATTCTAGACTAGCCAGTATTTCATAAATAAAAGGACTGCAGTGTTGGAAACTGCAATCTTTGGGTCACATATGAGTAATACAATTCCCACAATTAGCATCGGCTAAAAGAAACTAAATATTTTTAGAAAATTTGTAGTAACCAGAACATTGTTTTTTTTTCATCAAAAAAGTGATTGATTCAATTGTTTTTGTTTGAAACAAGATGCATGGATATTGACACACAAATATGCCACAGCAATGTGAGCAGCTCTGGGAAATATATGAAACATTTAAAAAAACATTTAACATTAATGGGTGAAACAGTATTTGGGTCAGCTTTATAAGTTTCTGTACACATTTTCAATATAGTAGTAGTGGTCAGCAGATGGACAAATAAAATATGTGACCTATCAGGCTGACCTATATGTCGCGTTAAAATTTGTAGAAGATAAATTTCACTTTTTGCTTGAATGTACAATTAATTACAACTTGAGAGACGCATTGCAAAATATTACTTTAACCCTCCTGTTATGAATAAATTTTGTATACTTCTTTACAATAAACAATCCATTTTCTTTGCTATGAAATTAAGATCTGAAATGCTCTGACTGTCTAATTTATCTATATTATAATGCGCTGTATGTTCTCATTTATTACTCTAATGATCCAAATTTTGACTACCGGTAGTGGCCTTTAATACTTATATAAATTACATTACATGTGCCCTGACAGATTTGTGATTTTGTCCTTATACATGTAATGAATATTTTTTCATATATGGTCATTACTACACAGCTCAAACTTACAAAACACATCCTGGAGTACATTATGGCTGGGCTACCAAATGGAAAAAATTACAATTTGTGTACCCTTGGTACAGTCTAGCTGTACCAGTCAAAAGTATCAGTAACTTCTCAATTACTTGAACACAAAGCAGAGAAACTGTAATTGAATAGGGATATGATGAAAATACAACGGTTCTCCTAAAACAATGTTTGAATTTGTTTCAAAATTCATACACATGTGTATACTGAGATGTGTAGATACAACAAACCAGGATGCAGTTCTCAATCCCTTATTTTATTAACACATTGCACTTTTCTATATATACAAAACATTGAATTCTTCTGTAATCTCATTGATTGCTATTAAATGTAAGATTCTAAATTGATTGCATGATTAGACTAAAGCAGTTAAAGCAGGAACTTTGGCTGCCAAGCTAATAAAACGTGATGGTGCAGTTTATAATGATAAGCACAAGGGAAAATTGTTGATTGAGGTATGAAGGTGAATTATTCTTACAGTTAATGATGAACTACGGTACTCATTTTGAATTTCATGAAAATTAATACATAGAAATTTAACAGCCAAGCAGAAAAGATTCTGTCATAGTCCTTCTAAAATAGAGAGACTGTAATTCTGCATATTTTCCACAGTAGTCATGTAATCTAGTTGAACAAATTCACAATGTAAATCCATGTTTTTTATAAATACTACCAGTTACCTACAATTAAAAAATAAAAGCAAACTTTCTTAAAAATAGAGCCACATGTACTCTACATCAAACAAATTGTGGGTGATGAATACCGGTAACTGTTGATCCAACCTTTTCAAGCTCAATTTCAGGTCAAGTAAAAAACAAAATGATACTGGAGGTGCACCAAATTATTATAATGGCTAAAATGTTGTCTTACATGCATCACTAGTGTCAGTGAAATCGTTGCATTGTTATACAATCGACTTACCCCTAATAGTGATACAACATAAATTACACTTGTACACAATAGTACGAGGATAATCTCGCAATTGTAAAAATTAAAATGCTGCAGTTTCCCCTCAGTATAATTATTTCAGTTTAAATTCACCTCAAAAAACTCTTTAATTGGGGATGGAGGGATTTCCAAAGGATGGCTGATTTCTCCAAATAATTGCATAAAAGGTTTATAAAGTTTTTTTACCACATTTACATTCATTTGCATAGATCCATTACAATATCACCTGATTGCTGTGAAAGCAATTAGTGCATACTGATGCAGGTCAAATAAAAGTCACCCACACATACCGGTAACTGTACAAATATTTTGCATAGTTTTTAATTAAAAAAAATAGAATTTAAATCCTGATTTGATACTCTGCATGAGTAAATTGTTTCCTAGCAACGATAGGACTTTTATCACTATCTGACTCTACAGAAGATGATGCAGCAAGTGGAGGTATACTGGGAGCTTTGCGTGGAGTGGAATGGATCAAATCTTTCCGTGGTGATTTCCCTGTAATGGACTCCTTTCGTGGTGATAATGGCGCTTTGAGTTCCTTCACTTGAGTAGCTTGCTTGAACTACAAATACATAATAAAAACAAGGGATGTTAAAAATAGGAAATGAGTTTACATTAAAATGTAATCTTAAATAGTGAGTTGTTAATAGTTACGAGTTGTCAACACTAGTTACTGTGGTGGTTATTAGATACATACTCAACTAGTGATGCAGTAAGAGTTTGAAAACCAATTATATACTGTACTGGCTCCATTGGAAGTGGATATATTGTTTACTGGATCATAGAAAATATGCCTTATTTTGACCATAAACACATCTCTGTTATTTATGTAAACACATGACATTTTGTTTTTAATTACAAGAAAGGATTTTTGTTTTCATCAAAATTAGGTTTTTATGTTCATGTTAAAAATAACAGATTTATGTGGATATTGTTTACTTACCCGGCTTCGCATGTCTTTAGCATGTCTGTCAACTTCTTTTCTTAAATCATCTTTAGATAGTTTATTCATATTTAACGAGAGGTACTGTAAATGATAACCAACAGAAACATGAAAGCATCACGTCACTTCATTACATTACATCTAATGTAAAGACCTAGACTGGCCCAGTCATGGCAAAGTTATTGTTTTAAATGCTAAATCTTCTAAAACAAGTTTGTAGAATCTTCCGTATTGACGCAAAATTACTGTGACTGGTGTGTTCTACTGCGCCCTCTATAGTTGTCGACACGTTTTTGTGGTGATAAATATGCTAATGTAAGTGTTCTACTCCCGGGTTTCATAGCGTCACTGGATATCATGAATAAGTAATAGCAATAGATATGCTGCAGAATTGACCAGTCATGATAATTTCGCATTTGACCACACTTTAAGAAAGAAAATTATAAAATTGCCATGGCTGGGTCAGTCTAGTGAAGACTTTTATACTACGTACAAATTGTATTTAGCTGATCACTAAGTAATATATATATATGTATTTTATAACCAGATTATGTTAGTGACTTATAGACTCATCTGAGTAGATTCACCAGCTCATGCATGTACATATCAAAATTTGAATCATACAATACAAAGTTGTGAGAGTTTTTGTAACTTCTATTCAAAAATTGACCTTTTTAATAGTGAGATATAGAGATTTGACGGGCTATTTCAGTGAGTATTACTTGACTAGCTATGAACTTTGATATGCCATTGAAACCATCTTTTTCTGAACATATTTGTTTGCACCAAATATTTGTGTTCTGATTTTAAAACATTTGTATAGACCCGGGCAGACTTGTGTACACATGTTGCATAATAACTACATGTATATTCCATAAATGTGTAAATACACTATGCTAATTACAGACAGTTATGCAAAACAAAATACAGATTGACAGTCATTATAGACATTTTAATTTCAATAAATATAATAATTGGGCACTTACCTTCCAGTGTATTTGTTCATAACTATGGGGGTCATGTGACACTGGTAATCCAACTTTGCATTTTTTAACAGTATGCCAATCTTTGTGAAATAAACAAAAAGAAATGAATCATGAAGGTTAAATTAAAAAAAAGTTTCTACACATACATTTAGCATTACCTGGTATAACCTATCAGGGTATTGACACAGTTTTGAAAGGAAAAAGACATAAAAAGACAGTGTATTTTTGCTGTACTCTAAACTTTAATATGTCCAAATCAGAACCACTTTTCTCTCAGAAAACTAATAGACAGATTAGCAATGGCTCATACTCTCTAATGCATGCTACATTTGTAATAGTTACATAAACAAACTCATTCATGTGAAATTCACACCTTGAACAATAAATGTTGTGAGTCTGTCTATTTCTTGTCTGAACTTTCGCTGCCAAGATGGCCACATGTGTACCTATTCATTATTAAACTGAGTTTGCCCAAGTTGGATTTTTATAAGCAGTGTGCACTGTTACAAGATTGATTTTGATTAAATCACCCAAAATCAAGTTTATTCAGCTTGTTGGTTACCAATTATGCAATTATAGTAAGATTGTTTTTTTGAAATCACTATATTAATGTACAATATTTTATTGTGTCAATGACACCCCAGTGAATTAACACATCTAGTTGCATCACAGCAAATCTGTGCGTGTCATGCAGTGGCATATCATATCAGCTTAGAGGACACACTGATCAGAAGTAATGTATAGATCTGATTGCATTGAATCTCTGCAGTCACTTGTCTGAATACCCAAAAGGCTCATGGGAGTCTTACAACCTCCAAGAAATACTGTAGTTTAGGAAGACAAAATTACAGTATTGCACTAGATGGAATATTTTACTTACAAAAAGTCATGTCCATATAGAAAAGAGGATATTTATTAAAATTAGAAAAAAATATATTGTACAAGAAGTATACGATATTACATACTGAAACTTACATCTTTTATATGAGTCTTCAAAATCAATTAGTAAATCTGTTAAGCTCTGGGGAAAAAACACACAAAATTATTATTACCAGTGTTATAAAGTGAAAAAGTTATTACACCAGGTGTGTTCAAAATGAATCTCGTCTGATGTATAATTTACATGTATAAGCATGGATTATGTGATTGGTTACTAGTAAGACATTTGGCTTCTCAATGAACCAATCAGTGACAGTTCAACAAACTAGCTTTTTACAAAGCTAACTTGAGATTGAAAATACCATACTCTAGTGGAGTTCATGCACAGTATACAGTGTGAGTGAAAATACATTACCTTGAATACAAGAGATTTATACATCAAGTCATCTCTTCTACTCATCCCCAATGCTCCATATCTACCGCCATAGTAAACGCCAAGTACCACATGTCGATGGTAATTCCCAGAAAACTGAGTTTTAAAACTAATAGTAAATCTTTCTAAACCGGCTATCCCATTGGTTAAATGACTGTAGAAAGGTTATGTTAAGAAAAGTGATAAATAAAATAACACAGCTAACTGTGCTGAACAAAGAAGCAATAGATGAAGGGGTACATTTGTTAATTATTTATTCAACACTAAAACGAACTACAGCGAGTTGTTCTATGGTCATATAACAATAAAAATAAAGATAAAATAAAATAGAATAAGATTAAATAAACTAAACTAAACTACACTAAGATACAGTAAAGTTAATCAACTACACAGAATGCTAAATAAAGCTAAAATAATATTACAAACACGCAAAAGATCATAATAAACTTATACGGTACAATAAATACAATACAATATACTAGCTAATATTGTTAAGGTAAAAAAAAAAAAAAATCACATTAGAGTCATAATTATGGTGGAAAGAATATTCTTAATTTTGGTGGAGTTGCTCACATCTCATTTGCATACATTTTTGTATATATTGTGTAGTTCTTATTCCTGAACAATATTTCATAATTGCCTTGAATTTTTCCTGTTCATTTAACTTACTAAAAGTTAGTATAATTTCCTTACAGTACTTGAATAATTCAATTTTTTTTTTCTGTGTGTATTGTAAAGACTACAGTGCATAAGGAAATGTATTTCATCTTCAATTTGCTTTTTATCACAGGCTCTTTCATTCCTTGGAGTTTTGCAATGCCTGCCAGTTTCAATATGAAGTTTGTGATCAGAGATTCTGAACTGGCATAGGGAGTGTCTCAGTTT